TATATATGATCAAAACATACAACTTTCATATGTTGGTATCATATATTTAATATTAATGTATGCATCTTCTCCTCCATTTTTTTCAAGTGTTTCTAATGTTTCTTGTATAAGATCAGAGAGATTTTCATTTTTTCTTTGTGAATAATCGATTTTGTCTCCAATGTTTACTAAAATAAATGATAATTGAATATACATCTTTTATTCTTATACATATTCATAACTGGTAATATTTATCTATAATAAGGGACTAAGGCTTCTCCTATCATTTATCCACTTTTGACTAATTTCTATATTTTCTTTAAGGTAATGCACATAATATCGTGATTCTTTGTTGCCAAGGCTTCTATTAAAGAATTTATATTTATTAAATGTACTTTTGATAGGAATGATTAATTGTGGTAACACTGATAAGATCTTAGTTTCTCCTTTTTATAATAATTCTTCACATCCATTGACAGCTAAGAATTTGTAAGGATCTTCAGTTTCTCTCAGTCCTTCAAAGAAGATTGGAAGATATAAATGATAATCTAAACATTCAGGTTCGCATTTCCAAACGATCTTTCTGACAGCTCCACTAAAATTAACTGCAATTGGAAGATCTCCTCGATCATAATATTTTTTAAATAGAGTCTATTCAATTATAGGTAAAGCTTGAAAGATTCCTGATTTTGGAACTTTTTAAGGAGCTTGAGCTTTCTTGGGAGCTAAAGATGAAGACACTAATTAATTATATAACTTATAAATTATTACTTCCACCTGTTCCTGCAAATTTGTTACTAATGTTCAATAAATTTGAACAGAATTTACCTGGTGATCTCTAAGGAGAATGTCCTTATATTGGTTTTATTCTTTTGTTTGTTACTTATTATTATTGCATTCTTATATTTATTTTATATTTAATTATGTATATAGCAATTAAAGTAGTTATTACTTTTTAGATAATAATCCTTAATTAATAATCAAATCAGTTATTTAGAATCCTTCTAATCGTCTATTCTAACTCCCTTTAATTCTTTTCTACTATATTATCTACATTTAAATATCTTTATTTTGCAAATCATATTTTAATTCTAGGCTCAACTTTTTAAGTAAAATCGAGAGTTCAACTTAATCGACCTGATGAGTTGCAATAAATATTTATTTTTTAATATTCTATACAATTAATATATTCTAACGATAATATTATTTGAATAAATAAAGGAATGCTTCGAACAAACATGTCGATAGTTAATCTTAACCATTAATAGAGTTCAAGTTCTCTATTATAAGCCTTAGTCAATTAGAGACCAAAATCATCATAAAAATCACATTCACAAAAAAGAGTGCCTTCAGCAAAATCGAGTAAAACAAACTAAATTGGCCAACCTAGTTACAAGGTACACTTCACTCTTAATAAAATTTAGCTGGTCACGTCTTCTTTATGTTAGCCAATTCAAAATTAAAAACAAGAAGTATCTTAACGAACAAATGAGACCTTAAAGCCGAAGTAAAATTTCTTATGATGTTAGTGATAATTCTGCAACTGAGCCTCTATAATCTCAAAGAATTTAGGAGTAATATAGTGAAAAGAAAACCAATAAAAAAGCATCCTTAATATAAAGAACAATATTCGGTTAAAGCGCTGCATCTTTGGGTATTAAATAAAAGACAGTTAAATTGACCCGAGAATCTAGAAGTAATAGCAAAAAAGAAATGCAATAATCAATAATTGAAGAATCAACTTAATAATAGCAAGTCACAAAGGAAGTTGAAAATGCAGAAGCTACTTAAAAGCTAGAATAATTGATATCAAAGTATAAGAATACATCTTTTTTCAATTAAACTTAGCAATCTAATTAGATTTAAACACAACAATTAAGTCCATAGATAGTTATAAGTGTTTCGTAACCAAAGGAAAATTAATCTCTTTAAACCACTTAATAAACCTTATTGTCATAAGCATCCTTAGCAGTTTTATCTGAGTAGGATTAGAATTTAAATACAGCTTTTTCTTAATCAGCTAATTTATAGGTTAATTAAACTTAAATAAACAAGTATGTAACTAGAATTTCAAGAGGAGCAAATTTTTTTCCATAAAAATAGAATTCTAATTCTGTTAATAATTCAGTTAATACTAAGCCTACAAGAAAAAGAATGAATTCTCCTTTGCATGCTTAAAGAAGATCGAAAGAAAATTCAATTGTATCAGAATCATTAGTAAGTCATAGGGAATCAAAATAGAAACTTAGAAATTTGTCTGGGGATAGAAAATTTACATCAGCTTAAAAGGTTAGCTTAGGACCTTAGGTACCTTTCTAAGNATGTTTTATTTATAATTTATCATTTTAAACTCTTTTCATCAGTTATTATTGCTGGCTTTAAGTCAACAGCAATATTTATTTCCTTGATTTTAAAACCATTCCTTTATTTGTTTACTTTGGAGTCTAAAAGTTCAATACTTTTTAAATATATAGGTCTTATAGAAATGTGAACTTATAAATAGTAGATAAGAATACAAATGGTTTTAATTATAATTCTTGCTTTAGGTTATATCATATTTTCTCCAATAATTGGATTTCCTATTTCTATCGAAGATTCTATTGGTTTTGAAGACTTTGATACTTTGTCTAGTAATTGATACAAGGATTTTAATAATATAGTCAATATTAAATTTTTTTTAATAAACATATATTTCAACAGGATGGAAGCCAGCTTTAATTAACTTGACATCCTTTTAAGATTGATTTAAGAAAGATCTGAGGATGTTCGAGTGATGGCAACAATAAATTCATATGTGAATGCTAATTAAAAAAACAATGATGTTGAATTCAATTAAATTTAACAAACCCTTAGGCAAATGGGATTTAAAGTGATAGCTATGAAAAAACATGATAAACCTCGGTAGGATGAAGAAAACAAAATTTTAGAGTATCTTTCAAAAATAACTACATTAAATCTTCCTGAAAGAATATATATTTATAAATTTTGTTAAACAATAATAAAATAATTCAAACCAGAGATGCAAATAGTAAGATTTAATTAAAAAGATATAAAAGATCTACTATTAATGTTTAAATAATATTTCATGGCTGAGAATAATGCAGAAATGTTATAATAGATACAATAACTAATGATAGATTAAGAATTTAAAGTAATTTATTTTATCCTTATTGCAGATGGCTTCAGCTTTAGTCTTAATAAAAATTTTAGTAAATAAATCTCGAGAAGATTTTCATAATTTAATCCAAACTACATCTGCAATTGTTATAACCAAAATAAAAGCCAAGCTAGCTGAGCAATAACAATACCAAAAGTAAACAGCTATTGAATAGCCAAAATTAGCTGACCTTTAAGAATCAGAATTAAATGAAAGTCCTAAAACTAAATTATGGATATAGAGAAAAGGCAGTAAATAAAGAGAATAATCAAACTCTTTAGTTTCTTAAAAGCCTACAATCATTATCAGATCAGCTTCAATGATAGATAAATTACTAATAGCGTAATCTTAGTAATAATCTTATCAACCACAACTAATGCTATAACAATAATAAATGTACATTAATCCAGAAAGAGAATTGAAATTACAATTAAGAGCTCAATAAAAAAAGTTAAAGAAGAAACTTCATTCTAATTATAAGGCGATTATGGAGATAGACTTTGATAATTTTTGGGCTATGCATATTATTTTGAAAAAGAAATTTATCAAGCATTCTGACAAATATTGTAATTTATAAATATAAATAGTTTTATAAAGGGGTGGATTTTACATTTGGAGTTAATTAAAGTTATTTAATTAATTTATTAGATAAACTATAAATAACTACCAATTGAAAAGAATAGAATGCATTTAAGCAGATAAATTGGCAAATGAGTAAATTTAAGTGATACATCGAGTTTATAATACTACTTGTTAATCACCACGTAAACTGCCATAATTACAAAATGCATAATTAAAATCATAAAGCCCATAAATCATAAAACAAAATAAGTTTGTCTCAAATTTATCGTTTTTGCCATAGCTATAATTTAGAAATTAGCAACAATAATAAGCTTATTCGTAAGTTTCTTATAAACCCATATCATTTTATGATCCAAATAAAGATTTGACAATATCAGCTTAGAGGTCCAATAAATCATTAAATTTATCATAAGATTTGATTCGCCACAAAAAATCTGAGCATAATTCTGAAATAATTCTCTACAAATGATTTATTGAGTAATTTTTAATATTAATAAATTCTCGTAAATAAATAACTTAAAATTATTTATGAGATAATAATAAGCTCATATTTAGACTCTCTAAACTATGGCGGCCAGGCTAAGCTCAAAAATTTCAAATAGAAGGTCAGTATTGAACGATAGTTAACAAATGTATAATCAATAATTAAATCTCTCAGTTAATCAGTCCTTCAATACCCCAACATTAATAACTAATCAATAATCATTTATAATTTCACAACCAACAAATCAAAGTATGAGAGACACTGTTAAAAGCATTCGATGCGCTTCTCCGTCCTTAAGAATACAAACTGAGAGAGTAGAAGTAGAAGATAAAAAATAATAATAATTTATTGATGCCACTTTGAGATTGTTAGCTTAAAACGAGAAATTAGAAAAATTGGTTTGTGAATAAAATCAAATGTTAGCAATCTATAAGTAAGAAAAATAGGAATTAGAATTTACAGTAAAGAGATTATCTCAAGAAATTACCTTCCTAAAAGATACAAATTAAAAGAGAGTAATGGCATTAGAAAGAGAGTTAAAGCAAGTTAGTGGAAAATCGTAACATTAACCAAAAAGATTTCTTAGATGAATTTTATAAGATTATGAATTCTTAATTCTATAGGATTGTTCTTCTTATATGTTTTTGCCAGTTCTTAGTATAATTTTAAGTAAATATACTTAAACATAAAACAGAAGAATATTAGTAAAATTATTATATTTTTATCGTTTTTGATTAAATCTCAATTAATGTGACTATTTAGATCATAATATTTCAAGTTTTGTGTTGATAATGAAATTTTACTAGAGGATTTCCATACTTTTTCTATATATTTTCTTAGGTAAATAGTAACAGTTATTGGAATTTCAACAACGATTTTAAAGGAGATATTTAGTTTAAAAGTAGATCAAATTCCATCTTGAAGAAGATTTCGACATGATTTTAAATATTAAAATGATTCAAACTATTCACTTATTAAAGAGCAATTCAAATTAAAAATTAGTCTTGGAAAATCAAAGATTTGTTAATAATACTAAAATTTAAATTTCTAGTCTTTTATAACTAAGTATTAATCAAAGATTTTAAGTTTTTCTAGTTATTGTAGAACAAACAGTAAACCAAAAAGAAATATACCTAGAACGATATTTTTAGGTTTGCAAATTTAAAAAATTTAATGATTATATATAATACAAATTTGATGATGTAATTTATTGAATATTAACAATAGATTCTTGCTTTTAACACTTTCAGCAGCACTAAAACTTGATTGTAAAGATTAATGCGATGGAGATCATTACTGCTATTTGGGATAATGTTATTCATGTACCTATTATAGAAAACAATGTAAATTATTATAATATTTCAAAGGGGAAGCAAAAATCCCTGATTTTGGAGTTCTTATCGGTAAAGGTAATGGAGTTCCTGCATATTCATGTCAAAATGACACATAACATCTTGATGAGCTTGAACACTTCCTTCAACCGAATGAGACAGGGTTTAACTAAACAGTTTTTGTTGGAATGAAGTATAACTATTTTAAACTTAGATATCAATGTGTTCATTTTGCTAGGTACTATTGGATTCAAAAATTCGGATCAACGTTTCCTGGAATTGATACAGCTGATGAAATCTTTGACTTAACTTATGGAATTGATTATAAGAATGGAAAATATAGAAACTTAACTAAATTTTATAATGGAATGACCACAAGTATAAGAGCTGGTGATTTATTAATTTGGAATAAAAGTTACCCTTATTTCCCATATGGACACGTTGCTGTGGTTTTAGATGTATAGTTAGGGGCTGAAGAACCATATATTACTATAGGTGAAGAAAATTATGATGATATATGGGACTCTAATTAATATGCAAGAAAATTAAAAGTTTCAACTAGTAATTTTGGGCTGGTGTATGTCATAAATGAAAGAGAAATAACAGGACTTCCTCCTTAAGAAAAATGTAAGGATTATAATGGAAGTGCAAATGATGTCATTGTTGGTTGGGTCAGATTAAATGATTGAGAATAATATTTTATTTCACAGTTTCATACGATATATTACATATGGGTGTTATGTTAAAGTAAAGTTTCCAATAAATTTTTGATATTCTGGATACAATACAATGTTAAAGACATTATGAATCTCCAAAATTTTTATTATATTGAATTAATTTGGAGAAAATTTTAATAACATTTATTGAATGAGTATTTTGAAAAAGAATATTAGTAAATATTAAAAATTATAACTAAATTTTTCTTCCTACATCAAATTATTTGATGAATAGAAAAAGCATATTTCTAAATTATTTTAAAGATAAGTTCGCTCTTTTAAGTAAAGTCAAGCGCTGCAAAACAAAATAAATTTATGAAATTTTTATATAATTATGCAATTCCAAATCAAATTCTCCAGAAGGAGAATTAGCTTAGAAAGCATGAATTAAGAAAAACAAAAGAAAGCAAAATCCAGCTTGCCTTCCATTCTCAATCCGTAGCTTTTGTCTTGATGGGGTTTCCGTGAATGAGCACTTGGATGTGAAATTGCTTCGTAATGTGTTGTCCCTTTTGGAGGATTTTGACGCCCGCAACCTTCTTTGTCACTTATTCTGTCTCGCTGGGAGGAGTTTTGGGAGAATCATTTTTTTTTTTATATAGTTTTTTTGATTTATTATATTGGGATATGTGTTCAGACCATATGGCCTTACCCCAGGAGTAAGACATTTATAATTCTTGGCAAGCCTAAAAATGTAAACTTGAGCATAATACTTCTTTTAAAGACTTTTTCTCATACAAAACACGTGTTAGGAACATCACTTTCTCTTTCGGACTTGGACCAACTCTATTAGACTATTGTTTCTTCATTTATAGTTCAACTTAATATTTTAAATCAGCGAGAATGGGCATGAGTTTATGAAATTGCAGTAAATAATAAAGCTTAATACTCTTAGGCCAACATACTTTTATCTCTCGATAATACGTCAGCCAACAAAATTTAAATAGGCAATATCATTAATTATTTAGTATGTTATCATCATCATAACATAACAAAATTCTTTCTCACCTCAAATTAACTTATCTTAATAAAACTCTGCTCTCTGGTCTTAAAATAACTATGAAGGTTTATTTAGCATTATGATTAAGAGGATAACTCTCCTTAAAGCTTTCTCTTAAACTAAACTATCAGAATTAATTGAAATTTTTAAGAGTAACTAAATGGATTATCCTAGATTTTAAGGCAGAATTATTTAGTTTTGAAACATTAATCAACTCCTCCACAAGATTTAAATTTTAAGATTTATTCTCAACCTTAAAATATAAAAATATTTTTATGAAATTATGTTCATATTACCTAAATTTAGATAAGTAAATTTACCTCTATTATCATTGTATTCGACAGAATCAGCTGAAATCTAAAATCATTGAATTGATTGGAAGTGAAATTTAGAATATAAATTAAATTAATTGAAACAGTTAATATATATAAATATAAATTATCATAGCTTTGTAATTAACTATTCAAAAGTGATATCTTATAAATATAATTACGACTTGAAATTTGTAGAATTCTTTAAAGGAATATCTTGATCCTACATCAGATCCATTAAATAAGTTGTTAAGTAAATCAGTTCTTTATCCAAGGCATTATCATAAAAAGGTATTATGGGAACACCGTTATCCAATTAAAAGCAAAATGAATATGAAGCATTATCAATTAATACCATATCCTTTATGTTTCTATTTCCTATTACTCTTAAATCTTTTATATGTAATCCATCTTAAATCACAACACAGCTATCTCTGAAAAACCTGTGATGGATAAACTTTTTATCAGGATCCAAATAGTTTAATACCTTTTAAGCATAACATTCGTGTGATGCTGTAAATACTATGATTTCATATTTTTATGAGAGTATTTGAAGCATCTCTTTACAATAGGGCCTAATATTAATTCCAGCTTCCACTGTCTCTCCAGTTGGGAACTTTATTGTTAAAACAATGTCGCTTGGATCATCATTCGATTCTTAGCAATGAATCAAAGTTTCATCTAAATCAAAAACAAGACTTTTTGCAACTAATTATATAAAAATTAAATATATACATTTATTTGGAGGCAAGTTTACTATTTTCTGTTTTATATCTTCTAATTTAGGTTTTTGAGCTTCTTTACAAAATTATAAAGCATGAAAGCTTTATTAAATATGATCTAAGTAAATTTCAGAGAAATATTGCTGTGTTTTGATGCTATTATTAAACAGTTGCTTTATTTGTGTTTCAAATTTTTTGTCATTATGAAAAAATCTGGCAAATGACATATAATATTAAAACTCTTAGAAAGGTACCTAAGGTCCTAAGCTAACCTTTTAAGCTGATGTAAATTTTCTATCCCCAGACAAATTTCTAAGTTTCTATTTTGATTCCCTATGACTTACTAATGATTCTGATACAATTGAATTTTCTTTCGATCTTCTTTAAGCATGCAAAGGAGAATTCATTCTTTTTCTTGTAGGCTTAGTATTAACTGAATTATTAACAGAATTAGAATTCTATTTTTATGGAAAAAAATTTGCTCCTCTTGAAATTCTAGTTACATACTTGTTTATTTAAGTTTAATTAACCTATAAATTAGCTGATTAAGAAAAAGCTGTATTTAAATTCTAATCCTACTCAGATAAAACTGCTAAGGATGCTTATGACAATAAGGTTTATTAAGTGGTTTAAAGAGATTAATTTTCCTTTGGTTACGAAACACTTATAACTATCTATGGACTTAATTGTTGTGTTTAAATCTAATTAGATTGCTAAGTTTAATTGAAAAAAGATGTATTCTTATACTTTGATATCAATTATTCTAGCTTTTAAGTAGCTTCTGCATTTTCAACTTCCTTTGTGACTTGCTATTATTAAGTTGATTCTTCAATTATTGATTATTGCATTTCTTTTTTGCTATTACTTCTAGATTCTCGGGTCAATTTAACTGTCTTTTATTTAATACCCAAAGATGCAGCGCTTTAACCGAATATTGTTCTTTATATTAAGGATGCTTTTTTATTGGTTTTCTTTTCACTATATTACTCCTAAATTCTTTGAGATTATAGAGGCTCAGTTGCAGAATTATCACTAACATCATAAGAAATTTTACTTCGGCTTTAAGGTCTCATTTGTTCGTTAAGATACTTCTTGTTTTTAATTTTGAATTGGCTAACATAAAGAAGACGTGACCAGCTAAATTTTATTAAGAGTGAAGTGTACCTTGTAACTAGGTTGGCCAATTTAGTTTGTTTTACTCGATTTTGCTGAAGGCACTCTTTTTTGTGAATGTGATTTTTATGATGATTTTGGTCTCTAATTGACTAAGGCTTATAATAGAGAACTTGAACTCTATTAATGGTTAAGATTAACTATCGACATGTTTGTTCGAAGCATTCCTTTATTTATTCAAATAATATTATCGTTAGAATATATTAATTGTATAGAATATTAAAAAATAAATATTTATTGCAACTCATCAGGTCGATTAAGTTGAACTCTCGATTTTACTTAAAAAGTTGAGCCTAGAATTAAAATATGATTTGCAAAATAAAGATATTTAAATGTAGATAATATAGTAGAAAAGAATTAAAGGGAGTTAGAATAGACGATTAGAAGGATTCTAAATAACTGATTTGATTATTAATTAAGGATTATTATCTAAAAAGTAATAACTACTTTAATTGCTATATACATAATTAAATATAAAATAAATATAAGAATGCAATAATAATAAGTAACAAACAAAAGAATAAAACCAATATAAGGACATTCTCCTTAGAGATCACCAGGTAAATTCTGTTCAAATTTATTGAACATTAGTAACAAATTTGCAGGAACAGGTGGAAGTAATAATTTATAAGTTATATAATTAATTAGTGTCTTCATCTTTAGCTCCCAAGAAAGCTCAAGCTCCTTAAAAAGTTCCAAAATCAGGAATCTTTCAAGCTTTACCTATAATTGAATAGACTCTATTTAAAAAATATTATGATCGAGGAGATCTTCCAATTGCAGTTAATTTTAGTGGAGCTGTCAGAAAGATCGTTTGGAAATGCGAACCTGAATGTTTAGATTATCATTTATATCTTCCAATCTTCTTTGAAGGACTGAGAGAAACTGAAGATCCTTACAAATTCTTAGCTGTCAATGGATGTGAAGAATTATTATAAAAAGGAGAAACTAAGATCTTATCAGTGTTACCACAATTAATCATTCCTATCAAAAGTACATTTAATAAAATATAAATTCTTTAATAGAAGCCTTGGCAACAAAGAATCACGATATTATGTGCATTACCTTAAAGAAAATATAGAAATTAGTCAAAAGTGGATAAATGATAGGAGAAGCCTTAGTCCCTTATTATAGATAAATATTACCAGTTATGAATATGTATAAGAATAAAAGATGTATATTCAATTATCATTTATTTTAGTAAACATTGGAGACAAAATCGATTATTCACAAAGAAAAAATGAAAATCTCTCTGATCTTATACAAGAAACATTAGAAACACTTGAAAAAAATGGAGGAGAAGATGCATACATTAATATTAAATATATGATACCAACATATGAAAGTTGTATGTTTTGATCATATATA